AAATTATTTTTTTCGGTCTCTAAATTTTATTAAATTCTATTTTTAGTCCTAATCTTAGACAACGTTACTAATGTGTCTTACGTGACAAACAATGTGTAATTACTTAGTACAATTGAAATTTATATTTTTTCTTTTTTAATTTGAAGTGTTCTTTTTTTAATAAAAAATACCCTCATTATGGGAACTTAAAGCATGAGAATGCAACCTTCGTTTAGAAAACCTTAGACACCGGCATATATAAATTAACATGACAATTTTCTAACATGTCAAAACAATTGACATTAGTGTTAAAATCATAAACTAACCTTTTGTTGTTATAAAATGAAGAGCCATCTATTGGTTCTAACATCTCCAATGTTTTCTAATAATAGAGTCAAAAACTATCTCTAACTGTCCTTAGTTTTAGTTTCCACCATAACAAAAGCTAGAGGGAAATATTAGTCATTAGAATCTCTTCATACAACTATCAGTAACTGGCCTCCACACTTAGTTTTGAGACAGTACCTATCTACCCTTATAAGTGGTCTACAACTAGACACAAAACCTCTCTAGCAACCTTGCAAGTACATGTAAAATGAACCAAATATTGGGTGCACGTCAGATGAAGGCCTTGGTAATTGTATTTTGCATGTATTCCTTGAGTTGCTTATCCTTAACTCAGCACTATACCTCCACAACATTATGTATTATTTGGTGGCATCTCCTTCAACAATTTCAAGTGCTAATTTTCTTGCTTAGTTAACTCTAACTTTAGCAAAACCTGTTGAATAATTCATGTGGATATCATCAACATTGTCATCCTTTTAGATATCACAACTTTACCAACCCATTTTGATCCAATATTTTTATTATCAAACACCTTACCACAATTGTGGTTTTCTACTAAAGCATTCATTCCAAATGATTCTTTCCAACCTTAGTAACATATGTAACAAAATTGCATCCTTGCTTACACACAACTATTACTCTCCTTTTATCATTCTTTAGAAATTGAACTTGTCTATCATTCAACACACGATGTTCTTTAATTGCATCTTTGAAATCTTGAAGGGATTAAAATCCTATCCCAACTTTTAACTTGTACTCCTTACCCATGTGCTCTTTCATATAGATGACACATTTTGCCTTCATATTTTCACCTTATCCAACATCACTTTCTTTAGTATCACTAACCAACTTCTCACTACTATATTCATTATCAATTTGATGCATTTGGTCATGGACATTAGGTATATAGTCAAAGTCAGAACCTTATGACTCAACACCAAAAGACACATGCTCTCATTCCCACTTCTACTTTCTTCAACAACTTCAACATGAACTTGCTCAACATTTGGTTCATTACCCTTAAAACCTATTCACTACCCCCAATATGATAATTAGCACCAATCTACTAAATGCCCTCACCTTGTTCAATTCCACCAATCTTTGCAATTCCTTGACCTTATTGAATTACTTCACCTTTATGAATTGCCACAACATATTCTTTAGTAGTAATAGGTTCCTTAGCAACAACATGCTCAATAATTTCCTCAACCAATATTTGTTATTTTTTTACACTCCTAATTGGTCTTTTTGTTGGGATACTTTTATTTTTCATTGTTACAATTTTCTACTTTGGTGAGGCATTCACAAAACCTACAACATCAATTTTTCATTGTTGTAGCAAATATTACCACTCAACTCAACTTTTGTTTGAGAGTGCTCAACATATATTCCTATTTTTCACAATTATTCTTCAATGCATGATTTCTCAACTCTTTAGCATCATTATCATACTTAAATGGTTTCAATTTCCCTCTAAAAGTAACATTCTCTAGTTTCTACCATAATTTTACATCATCACCATATCCTAGATCTTCCAATATACCTTTTTCTTTATAAAAAGACCAAGTATCCATGTCTTGGTCATGGATAACGTGAACTTCACCACCATTGTTATGGTTTAAATTCAAACTTGCCTATGAGATGGAAACTGCTGTGAATACCACATTACATAAATTTTAATTACAAAACCTAAATTAGAAAGTCATTAGACCTCAAATTAAAAATTAATCAAACCCTACATTAAAAAATTAACAAGACTCCAAATTATAAATTAATAGCATAATAGGGTAAGCTAGCTACATACCATGAATAAAATGTCATGAAACAAAGAATGGAGAATGCAAAAATACGCAACATGAATTTTCTAACTAATGCAAATATTCTTCAATACATAACACGAATGTGGTGATGTGAGTTTGTTGAGAGTAATTGGTCACTACATACCGTTGAAAGTCACACCTAAGTACAACACTTTGAATCAAAACATTGTTAATATTAACAAGAACAAAATGACTTTAAATTTTAGGGGCTAAAAATATGTTTAAGATTATTTTTTAAAAACTAATATCTTTTTAGACAAAATTAAGCGTTCAAAAAATAATAAAGTTCTTTAATTCCAATACTTTTAAAAACCCTTTGCAATGTCGATAACGAAAATCCTATAAAATAGTTAGAAGTTACTAACAAACGTGATTGAAATTATGACAAGAAATATAACTTTATGAATAAAAGTTAATCCAATCTCATGAAAAAGAGTTTTATATTTCCTAATTTTACCAATTTTTTTTAATAAAATAAGATTGTTAAAGGTTAATGCACCATAATGTTCTTCTAATCGAATAAATTTAGTTACTCATGTGACAACTTATTGTTTACATGGATAATTTAAGATTCTGAAGTTGCTAAATTAATATGTTAAGGTTCTTCTATTTTAGTTTATTTTCATGATTGTTTAAATGTTTTTTAATGAAGAATGATCAAATTATATAATTGCAAATTATTATATCAATTAATAATTTTTAATTAGATGTTTTTTTTTAAAATCATCATTAAATTAAAAGTTTCTTTCACTTAGATTATATTTACACAAAATTTTATATTAATAGTTTTTTTTTGATATTTTGTTCAAAATATACTAAAATATCTCTTATAAATACTAAAATATAAATAACTTCATTACTATCTAATTATCATTGAATTTTAACAAAGTTAAAATTTAACATAAATATTCAAAGTAACACTGTTAGATTGACAAATTTATTTATTAGTATAATAGTTATAAAAATTAAATCGATGTAATGATGTAATTTGTTTTATTTATTTATTTATTTATTTTTATTGTGTGTTCGCATTTACATGTTAAAAAGCTAAAGAGAGATACATTGTATTTAAAAAATAATTATTATAAAAGAATACAAAAATGATATTTAATATTTATTATATTTTAATCATTAAAAATATTAAATAATTAGTTTAATTTTTTTTATACAATGTTGATATATATATATATATATAAACCTAGATTTAATAATATATTTTATTTTTCCATTATTATAAAAATTAATTTTTATTTTTTATAATTTACACAATATATTCAATACAATGTATTTTTAATATTAATAATACAAAATATTGTGAATTTTAAAAATTGTTTGGTAACTATTTTTTTTATATATTTTATCATTCATTTAATAATTATTTAATTGTTGATGGATGATTTGTGTTGAATAATCTTGATTTTTTCTCGACTTGAATTTTTTGTATTTGTGAAAATTAAGATTTAAAATTTGATCACTTAATTTAACGATGTAAATCACCGTTACTTGCACTGATCCAAATTGGTGCACCTACATCATATGCTAATCGGATGTCAATTTAGCTAAATTTATTCAAATGTACTTTAAATTTTTAAAAGATAATTTAAATTATTTTTAGAGATAATTATTTATTGAAATAGTACTTAAAATATAATTAATGTTTTTTTTTTTGAGAATTTGGTATGTTTATTTTCTAGGCAATTATGCAAATTTCGAGTATGATTTTTCTTTTATTTTTAGATATTTTTATTTAAAATGTAAAAGTTTAATTTCTTATAATATAAATAGTATAATTTAATATTAAAAAATAAATTTGTACCTTTTTAACATGAAAAATTATTTGAGTAAATAAAAATAAATAAAGATATTTTTTGAAAACTTTTATTTTTAGAGTATTTTTAATGAAAGATTAGTTTCTTAAAATATAAATAGTGTTATTTAATATTAAAATAAAAAAAAATTCCTTGTCAACATGGAAAATTATTTGAATAATTAAAAAATATATAAAAAAAACTAATTAAATTTTTAATTAAATTACATTTTAAATGAATTATATAAAAATATGTAAAATAGAAGTTATTATAAGTTTAATAAAAAAATTGTATAATTTTATATTATTTTAACAATTTCTCTCTATGTTTATGTTATACATATGTTATGGTATAACTATTAGTTTTTAAATTAATTATCTTTAATATTATATTAATTTTATAATAATTATTTATTATTTTCATTATATTTAATAATAAAAATATTTATAAACAGTCAATAGCGACCGATTAGTATATAATATATTTTAAATAACAACTGTTAAATAAGTATAAATATTATAAAATAATGTTTTAATAAATAAAATCACACATTATATATAATATTTTATACCATAATATAGAGGAGATACTGATTATGATAATTATTTTTAAAAATCTTATTTAAATTCCTCATGTCACGAATAATATATTTGAAATTAATAAAGATAATTATGTATTATTAACTGAATTTAATATAATATTTTTATCAATAAAAATAGTAAGTAGATTTTATGCAATAATATTTTATAGATTTTTTAACAAAATTTAAGTATAAATACTAAAATAGGATTTTTTTTTAAAATTATGAGACTAAAAAATAGTTTTAAATTTAAAGAACTAAAAATAAATTTATCTTAAATTTAAGAGACAAAAAATTTATTAAAACCTTAATAGTAAATAGTTGGTATAATATACAGACAAATCCTAAATTTGTAAACCTGGATTTTAATCTTACTGTTCAGTGTTCATCAAAACGAATAAAAAGAAACCAAACACACCCTAATTACATTAAGAAGAATCACATTAATAGATTAGAATATATAATCTAAAAGATACAATTGATGAGGAGACTATAACGAAAAAGGAAAAAATGAGGAAGATCGAAAGCAAGTTGATGTTAAAAGGAGGAACCAACCAAAGGCAATTGTAATAATATATATTCAAAATTCGACACACTCTGCCATATTGAGTCTTCTTCTCTTTGGATTCTCTTGTTTTCACAACGATATGGCTTCTGGTGGAACAACATCAAGCAGGAAGAGGCGAAGCACAGAGATAAAGGAAGTGAAACAGAAAAACAAGCGTCACGCGACTTTCTGCAAACGCAAACAAGGGCTTTTCAACAAACTCACCGAACTCTCTCTTCTTTGCGACGTGAAAACCGCATTGATCATTATCTCTCCAAGCGACATGCTCTATTCTTGCGGCTATCCCGACGCCGACGCTGTTCTTCGCCGCTATCTCGGCGTCGGAGGAAGCCTCCAAAGAAACCACTGTGTCAAGACCCACGCAAGGGTAAGTAAAACTTAATTTTTTTTTTAAAATAGAAAATATTACAAAAATGGTCGCAATGAAGATTGAACCTAGATCCCCATGCTTCTAACTATCCCAACCCCGCCCCACCCAACTATTAGGCTCCAAAGAATCTGTTACAAAAATGGTCGTAATAATGATTGAACCTATACATTAAACACGAATAATTATCTCGTTGAGAGTATTTTTAGAGACTTTTATCTTATAAGAAAGTTGTTAGAAACTTTTTTAATTTATTTTTTATATTTTTATTTATAAATTAAATTTAGCTTAAATATTTTTTAATTTTTTAAATTTAAGATAAATTTATTTTTATTTTCTCAAATTTAAAATTGATCTTCTTAGTCATTATAATTTAAAAAATCTTGTTTTAATTTTTATAAGCAAATTTAGTTAATAAATATGTGAAATATTATTACAAAAATTTTACTTGTATCTTTGTTAATGTAAATATTACGTTAAATTTAATTGATATTGCATAATTATTTTTATTTGTTATCAAATATGATATTTATAATTTGAGAGACTAAAATATGATTTTTTAAAGTTATATAAACTAAAAAAATCAATTTTAAATTTAAGAAACATAAAATAAATATTGTTATATACTTATATGTAAGATTTTTTTTTGGTATATGTAGGTATTACTTGTGCAAAAAAAAAATCTCATATATTAATAAAAGTTAATCACCTATATACTGTCAGTGTAAAGTTTTTTTACACCGACAACTAATCAGATCTTTTAATAGTGTTATGTCATTTATTTATTTAATTAAATTAAAATAAAAAAGATACTATTAAAATATTTGATTGGTTATTAGTGTAAAATTTTTTTACACTAACAATATATAGGTGATTAACTCTATTGATAAATAAGCAATGTATATAGTTGTTTTATTGGAAAACTAAAAATCATTGTGAAATTTTGGTGTATGTAGGCATGTGTTGGAGGAGACTTGGAGTGTGCATGCAAAACGAATGAGAAAGAGAGAATAGAATGTGAAAGCCTAAGGGTGGAGTACGAGGCCACTCAAAATCTGTTGAAAGCAGAGACAAAGCGTCTTCAAGCGATGACGAAGGCACAAACTGATTCGTGCTTTGATCCTTGGTGGAATCTCCCCACAGAGGGTATGAGTTTGGAGAGTCTCCAAACTTTCAAAGCTTCCTTGGAGAGTTTGAAGCTTAACCTTGTTGCTGCGGTACAAGAGAAGCAGTTATTTACTTCGGTTTCACCAACGTCACATGTTCTTGTTCCGCCACCACAATTACCAAACATGTCATAGTTTCGGTGAAACCAAGTTCAAGATTATTGGAACAGTGGTGCTACCCATTCCAAGTTCGAACACACTCATGTTACTCGTATATATAGGATCAATTGTTAGCTAGCTGTAGTGTCAATTCGTACATGCAATTGTTTTTCTTGTTTGATATTGGTATTATATATTATATGGTTTGAAAATTGAATGTGTATTTGTTTTGTGATAGAAGCACATAGTAGTTGTTTAGGAGATTGATTTTTTTTTTTTGAGAGGAAATCAGCTGTGAGATGTTCTGCTTGACGAGGTAACTTCAATTCAATACCAAGGAAATTGAAAACTAAACAAGCTAATTCATGAGCTACTTTGTTGCCCAATCTCTTGGTGAATTTAAAATTAAAAGACTGAAAATAAGAGCATATTATATATAGGACTATGCAATCTTCAACTTCAATGTGTTGCAAATACAAATATTTTGCTACTGTCAAGGCCCAACCAAAACATGAAGCTTGGGCTTCCTTTGGAGATATGTAAACAGGTCTGCATAAAATGTAAACAGGCCCAACCAACCAATGGTAATCCCTCTTCGTCACGAACAATGGAATCCAAAATGATTATAAAAATATAAAATTTGATGTTTGGAACTTATGTTAGATCACTAATGAATTCAGTTTCATGGTTGGAACATGACAAAAACTTAAAATATTATTGGTTAACAGTCTGATATTTAAATTTTTGACAAATTTTAATTTTAGAACTTAATTAGTGTTTATAACTACTAATTTTCAGTGCAAACAAGATCTTTTAAACTAGTCCAATAAAGTCAACCATAGTGGAAGTTTAATATTTAATCACCAATATTCATAAATTACGGAAGACATTTAAATTTAGTTATATAACTAAAATGTTTATTTTATAATAAATTTGTTTGAAGAGATTATTTTATAATAACTAAAAAATTTATAATAAATAAATTATATAATTAAAATTTACATTAAATAAATATTTTTCAATATATATTTTGAAATTCACTTTAGAAATAAAAATAAAAATGATTAATTAAAACTCAAAATATATAAGAGATTAAAAATTACTAAAAATGGTTTTTTCATACTCAAAACACATTCTAAATACATTAAATAGAAAAATTTGTGACAAAGATAGACACCCACACAAATTAAAAATTGTGTCATCCAAAAGAGAAAGACACCATTGAAATCGAGTCTAGGGTGGTGGACTCCATGAATGGTTATCAAATGTAATTGCACACTTGAACTTATTAGTCTACATTTATAACAACCATTCCATGATCCCTACACTAAACGACACAGTTACTAATAGCGAAAAATCATCTAATGAGTTAGGATTGTATATACACTAATATTTGAATATGTATCATATATCACACATATAAAAGCAATTCAACTACACTAGTATATGTATACAATATAGATACCATAATCCAACTTAAAGTAACAATACATCCTAAGGTTTCGATTAAGCAACTTCTACTACCTATACAAGGACCACCCCAAAGGTAGCCTCAAAAGAGACATCTGACTCCAACACCATTGAGTGGCCTCCACTACACAACTCCATACCTATCTTTGTTTTGCTCTCATATCACACATGATCATCACAATCCAAATCACATGGAAACATGCAAAGGTAAACTAAAGTTTTAAAACAATGTATGTACAACACTAGATAAAGTCAATGTGTTATAGATAACAAGCATATCATCAAATAACAGCTTTCACATTTGACATTGCTAGCATACATCACTACCACATCAACTTCTCTATCAACATGAACAACTCAAGATATTATTGCACAATAATCATCTTTAACACCACAACAAAAACTACACAGGTCTTTAACACTTAAGAAGACATTTTCAACACAATATATACAACACTGACTACACAACACAACATATTCAATACAGCTTCATAGTTAGGTACGTCATCATGTACTTCAACTAGGAGATCTCCTACAATATAGGGTGAGCAGTTTAAGTAGCTTGACCTACTGAACCAACAACACATGGTGATCATTTTGGACTTACTAGATCAACAACAAATTGTAAGAACTTGGTTTCTCGGATGTTGCCACTTAAACAAGGAAGTCCAATACTATAGTCAGGGTAGAACAACTAAGTATAGGCCTACCACGACATTAACTAGCTTAACCAAGTCTCTTATGAGATTAATCCACGGACTACCCTCCAAATATTATGCCCTTCTGATACTCGATTAGGAACTAAGTTCTTGATTTTGTATTTTACTCAATTGGTCTCTTTATACACATGTATCTCGATCTTGCCCACAGTACCAACTAAGGTCCTAGAGGAGACTCAAATGTCCTTTTAATGGGTCAACTTTCCTAAAAGAGTTTTTCAACAAATTAGGCTTTTAGAGCATCACAACACAATATCAACACGATGAGATATGCAACTTTAAAAACAACCTCTCCTCTAATCTTAGGTTGGTCATCACAACTCAACAACACCATGCCCTAGATGTCTAAGTCATTTTTAGCATTTATCATCTAAAAAACATAGCAGCATCATGCATTTAACAAATTCAACACAACTACACAACCACACAATCTGCAACTCAAATCAACTTTCAACTAGTAACTCACAACATAATCATCATCATATAACATCATCCCTACAACTTATTCATCCTCATTTAGTCATAAAACAACTCAAACAATGTGTGTTCAACATACAACTCATTCAACAAGTAAGCAACCAACTCAATTAGAAAAGAAAATATTTGACCAAGTTCCCACATTGAGCGTGAAATCTCATGTTAAGCATCAGGCTTCAAGAGAGTTATATATATTTTTTTCATTTTTCCATGTTGAGCGTGAGGCTCATGCTTAGTCTCAACCTTCCAAAAGACATCCAATTCTCACACTAAGCATAAAAACCCATGCTTAACCTCAGAAACCTAAGAACTTCTACATCAATGAAGAACATCCCAATAGTTATGAACACCACCCAAAAATCTTCAAATTCTCTCAAGTTATGCAATAACCTATACATGAAACCTCAAAACCTTCCAATTTTCACAACATGCAACTTAGAAATCAATGAAGAAAGGACATGCAACAACATCATACTAGGTAGGTTATCAAATTCTTACTTTTCATTAAGAACACCAAAAAACCTAAATCGATTTTATCAACACAACCATGAATTTAAAGGGAATTCAAGCAGCATACAACTCATGCATCAACTCACAATCCAACTACTAAATCAAAACTAGAAAAATCCAGCTTCCTTTACCTTAGATTTGAAGCTAACCAATAAAGAAGAAGGGGTTCCTAGGTTCCATGCCTCCCTTAACTCAAACTGACAACAAGTTTTCAAGTCTCCTATTGACCTGAATTCAACAACATTACAATTACAATGATAATCAAAGAAGGAAAAGGAGAAGATTTAGAGTAACAAGAACTCACGTACTAGAGTCTTTCTCCCTAGAATTCTTTTCTCTAAGATTTTGAGAACTTTAATTTATAAGACTCTATTCTAAATAAAATTCTTATATACTCCTCCTCTCAAGGTCAAACTGACCTTCTGTTTAGAGAAACCGCTCTAGCTACTAACATGGTAGTTGAATCGAGATACAAATAATGTATCAGAAGGCTTATTTTTTGAATCGTGAATCGAATCGTATCGTGATTATTATAATTAAGTGTAAGAATGTAATTTAAGAAAATCATCAAAAGTTAAGTTAATATATGTTGGGATTCATCCCAAGTCCCACATCGGTAAAATGAAGGAACATTGGCTAGTTTATAAGTGTCCACCATTCCACATAGTATGAGGCCTTTTGGGAAGGAGCCCAAAAATAAAACCGTGCGGGCTTGGGCCCAAAGCGGACAATATCATACTATGGTGGAGGAACGGGTGGACTAGCGGGCCCTACAAGTGGTATCAGAGCCAACGGTTCGTCTGGGTTTGATGCGGGAAGACCCTCAGTGTTGTGCCTCGCGATGGAGATTCGAACTTGGTGCCTTGTGTCGAAAGTCTTCCTGATATTGTGGTGTTCAGGCGGCGTGTCCCGTAGAGTTAACGGCGGTACAAGATGGTGACGGATTATCGCTTGAGGGGAGGAGATCACGAGACATGTGGTCCTTGGTCTGAGGGGAGGTTTGTTGGGATTCATCCCAAGTCCCACATCGGTAAAATGAAGGAACATTGGCTAGTTTATAAGTGTCCACCATTCCACATAGTATGAGGCCTTTTGGGAAGGAGCCCAAAAACAAAACCGTGCGGGCTTGGGCCCAAAGCGGACAATATCATACTATGGTGGAGGAACAGGTGGACTAGCGGGCCCTACAAGTGGTATCAGAGCCAACGGTTCGTCTGGGTTTGATGCGGGAAGACCCTCAGTGTTGTGCCTCGCGATGGAGATTCGAACTTGGTGCCTTGTGTCGAAAGTCTTCCTGATATTGTGGTGTTCAGGCGGCGTGTCCCGTAGAGTTAACGGCGGTACAAGATGGTGACGGATTATCGCTTGAGGGGAGGAGATCACGAGACATGTGGTCCTTGGTCTGAGGGGAGGTTTGTTGGGATTCATCCCAAGTCCCACATCGGTAAAATGAAGGAACATTGGCTAGTTTATAAGTGTCCACCATTCCACATAGTATGAGGCCTTTTGGGAAGGAGCCCAAAAACAAAACCGTGCGGGCTTGGGCCCAAAGCGGACAATATCATACTATGGTGGAGGAACAGGTGGACTAGCGGGCCCTACAAGTGGTATCAGAGCCAACGGTTCGTCTGGGTTTGATGCGGGAAGACCCTCAGTGTTGTGCCTCGCGATGGAGATTCGAACTTGGTGCCTTGTGTCGAAAGTCTTCCTGATATTGTGGTGTTCAGGCGGCGTGTCCCGTAGAGTTAACGGCGGTACAAGATGGTGACGGATTATCGCTTGAGGGGAGGAGATCACGAGACATGTGGTCCTTGGTCTGAGGGGAGGTTTGTTGGGATTCATCCCAAGTCCCACATCGGTAAAATGAAGGAACATTGGCTAGTTTATAAGTGTCCACCATTCCACATAGTATGAGGCCTTTTGGGAAGGAGCCCAAAAACAAAACCGTGCGGGCTTGGGCCCAAAGCGGACAATATCATACTATGGTGGAGGAAAAGGTGGACAATCGGGCCCAATAAGTGGTATCAGAGCCAACGGTTCGACTGGGTTTGATGCGGGAAGACCCTCAGTGTTGTGCCTCGCGATGGAGAAGAGATCCGAACTTGGTACAAGATGGTGACGGATTATTATCGCTT